TCTTTCTTTCTTTCTTTCTTTCTTTCTTTCTTTCTTTCTTTCTTTCTTCTTTCTTTTGGAAAAAAAAATCCCAAGCTGACCGTCAATATTATTTATGCTCTCAAGATTCTTTGCCTTTTTCAAGTTTGATTTATAGCTGTGGGTTAGATTAATTTTCTTACCAGTCTTTCATCTCTTCCTTGCCCTCCTGTTCATTAGCTTTGACTGGAAGTCAGCTTCTTATCAGCCATGTTGCCATGCTGCTGCCCCCACTCCGATTCAGAGGGCAAATCTCCGACCTGTGAGAGCTCTGTTGCCTCCCCCTAGGTCTGATGAGAGACTGCCCCTTCTTTGCCCCCCCTTCCAGGGGGGTTCTGATCCAAAAAAGGATCCCCAGAGTTGGTTTGTCAGACAGGGTTCATGTGAGGCTCTTCAGCGCTCACATCCCCCACGTCTGTCCAGCTGGAAAACTTCCTGTCAAATCTGTGTCCCACTTGAGCCCCATCAGGATTGAAATCCAGGCTGTGGGTAGAGTTAGCCTACAATACTGCATTTTAACCACTGTGCCATGGAAAACTTGCAGCTCGATGCCTTTATTTCCACTTCAAGCAATTTTTCTTGTTTTATTTTCCAATTCATCTGTTTATAATGGGAAGAATATTCATATGGTATACTGCAGCCCTTGTGTTAGCTTTCCAAGAACTATAGCTGTAATCCTTACATATTGTCGTTGAAACTGGATGCAATATACTTCATGATCTGCATGAAATATGTCTTCCTCCAGTATACATATCTCTGTCTCTTTTTATGCATACCCCAAGGAAAAAGAAATACCGATGAAATGAAATAAGCATTCCCAGTTGTGCTCTGTTTTACCTTATTGGGCCACTGTTTTGTAAATAAAACAGACCTAATGATTATACTTAGATTAATGTAGAATTTCTATAAATAGGCAACAAAACAGATAAAAGTTTTGAGGATGTCAGTGTTCCCTATTTATTTAGTCTCTTATTGTATCTAGTCCATATATGTTTTTTCTTGGCAAAAGAAAGCTGTTTAAAAAAGTGAATTGTTTTCAAACCAATGCAGTAATATTGAATATTCTTTTAGTATTGTAATAATCTGTTAATTTTCCTTCAGTTTCCAGGCATTTGCTATTATACTTTAAAGTTTTATTACCAGTAATTATAGTCCTGTTTATTGCCATGCAGGTTGGGGTAATATTACAGTTGTATAGGGACACTAATTTCTCTTTTCCTTCTTCCTTTTCAGTGCTATAATTACAACAATTAACCATGATGAAGTGTGGTTTAAGAGGTCTGATGGAAGCAAATCCAAACTATATATTTCCCAGCTACAAAAAGGAAAATATTCCATCAGACCTAATCACAACTGACTATTAAACTAACCAGACAGTGTTAGCCTGCTTGAAGTGTCATAAGATGGAAAATGTATTTACTGTATGCTCTCATCTATCTTTGTGGCCGTATCTGTGTATTTTTAGTAGTACAAGTAATCTCCATGCAGATGTTTTAGAATAGGTAACACATTATCATGTTGAACATGACATTTTGCCTCTAATTTGGGTTCAATGCGTGACACAGAAAATAGCTTTGGATTGTCTGGAATTCATGATTAATCCTGCAGTCCTGTAAAGCTTTGTGCATGTATGAGCTAAAATTGTGCATACAGGTACAAGGCACTTTTATTTATATTTTTCCTTTTAACAGCTTGTATGACTCAGTCAACAAGGCAATTTTGAACTTGCTTAATTGCAGAGGTGGTAGATTTGAAAAAGGATGCATGGAACTATTCTTTCTGGATATTGTATCTTCATGTGGATCTGTGGCTTCCAGATTTTGCTGCACTACAACTCCCAGCATCCCTTTCCATTGCTCCTTTGAGCTAGAGCTGCTGGGCTTCCCCACCTCTGATACTGGCACTTCTCTTTTTACAGTTATACTCTAAAAACCAGTTGTATAAAATTGACAGTAGTAGAGTTATCTGAAATCATGTAATTGTGAAGTCCATTGCTGCCTAGCATTTGCTCTTGCTTTTTAGCAGTCTTGCTTGTCTTGCAAATATAGATGACCTTTTGCAGGAGTTACATGGATATAGTGTGGTAGTGAAATATTTTTTAAATTAATTGAAAACAACAAAAAGTTGAGGTCTCGAAGGGTTTGCCTATTTATGCTACTATATTTGTGTACCAGTTCCTTTGTGATGACAAAAATAAAAAGTAGCCATAAATACATTGCTTCAAGGCAAATGGCACTATATCCTGTAGTATTAAATGGTCTTTTTCTTCAAGTTAAAAGTGCCAATTCAATAAATGATGAAATAATAACAAAACCTACTGCTGCATATACTGCATATTGTCCTACAGTGAAATGTATCTATAGTTAAGCACAGTGTAACCTTTCAAAATTGTATATTGGGCAAAACAAATATGTGATGTTTGCTGCTTCAAAATTCTAGGAAGGTTTGAATTTGTAAAATTTAATATGGAGGTAGGATCTTCTAGCTTTACATGTTTGAAGCAATAGAAGGGGGTGTTGTGGGTATGGGGAGAAGACATTATTTGGTGGTTTCTGTGCACTTTAAATCCATTATGATGAAGTTTCAGGAGAGGGACTTTGTCTGATGGAAATAACTGCCAAAAGTGTTTGAAGCTTCGGCTTAGATTGGTGCTAAATTTGACTATTAATAGGCGGCCTCAGTCTTTCTTACAGTCTTGACTAGAGGGTCCGTGGATAAATTAATAATAGCCTCAGCAAACATTGTAATGACAAGAATGGGGAGCTATGTAAAGAAAACTGAAACTTCTTTTACAATGGAAATGTGAACACAGTCATCCCTGGAAGATGTAAATACCAGAAGGCTATATATGAATCAGCCACTCAGCTGCAGGCAAGCATTTTTATGTGTGTTTTTTTTTTGTTAAGTGTTAAAAAGTCTTGGGGGGAATGTTGCTCAAATCTCAATTCTGTGGTCTTGATTCTGACAACTCTCGTTTCAAGTCTTTACCGTGCAAGCTTTTGGCAATCAGAAGAATATCACCATCATTCATCAGAAAGTGCCTGTCACTATTCAGAAATGGCTTTGTGTGTCTTGGAATGTATTTATTTTGTTTCTGGCATGAAGGATCGGCAGCATCTGTTTTTGTACAGATCCGTAGGTTGGAAACACATCTGTCTCATTTTGTCTGCAATGTGCTACAAACTCTTTGCCTCCCAAAGTAGGCCACAAGCATAGTGTGGCGGGGAATTGTGGAGGACTAGCCTATTGCTTAAAACTGTTGGTTACGTGCTCATGCCATGTTTGTTTGCTTCTGTGTAACTGGCAATAGGTCTCAGTTGCCAGTTAAGAAATTATCACCTCTCCTGCTTGTCAGTTTACTTTGTTACCGTTACTAACCCTCAAAACAACAAAACTGCTTTCAACTTTTTATGAAAATGCATTTGCTGATGTTGGAAGACAGTTTGACCATTGCCAAAAGTCTGCAGAAAACTGACCCAGAGGAGTAATTTTACTCTACTCTACTCTATCTCAGAGGTTCCCAAACTTGGCAACTTTAAGACTTGTGGACTTCAACTCCCAGAATTCTCCAGCAAGCTCTGCTGGCTGGAGAATTCTGGGAGTTGAAGTCCACAAGTCTTAAAGTTGCCAAGTTTGGGAACCACTGCGTCTATCTTATATTAGCCAAACGTATATAAAGTATTAATGACAGGTTGACTTTGACAACCCCTCTGTATGTACACAGTTTGATAAAGCTTCTTTTGTAATGATGAAATATTTGTATTTTTTAACCTAGTGTATAAATAAAATAACTCATCATGGAAAATCCAGATAATTAAACCTACTGTCTGTGTGGTTTCTATTCTGTAAATACGGAACTGAATTCAAGAGTCTCTCATGAAAGTAGAATTTTAAACTATTTGCCACACTATAGCAGAGCTAATAGGTTTGGTATGTCAAGATACACACAATACCCTACTGTGTGTATCTTAAAAATATAAATAGCATGCTGATCAATACTTGAAAAGAACTATATATGCAGTAGGAACCCCTTTCAGATCAACACTGATTCCTTGACTGCACGTACTTTTGATGTTATTACTTCTAGGGAATTATAAAAGTTATACACTTCCATAGTTATATACTTCTATATTTTTACTGCCATAGGGGTAATCCATGAAATGAGGTTTTGTGGGCTTGGCCCTTTTATAGTCAGAGGTGGACTGCACTTACGTTCACAAGCAGTTCTCGCTCACGCAGGGTCCTTTGGGAGTGAAATGGAGCTTCAAAGAAGCAGGTAATCAACTCAGGCAGCTCTGGTGGGTAAAGCAGGGGCGGCGTGAAACTCAGCTGGGCAACAAGGGTGGAGGGAACGAGCCAGAAAGTTAGCAATAAAAGGATAGCTCCGCTGTCTGCTGACCGGCCACAACAGGTGGGTGGGTGGGCCCAGCCAGTGATCAAAGCTAGGGCTTTGCCCGAACTCATGTGACCACCACTGTTTACAGTACAAGGTGTATCACGATTTCTTAATGGTTTTATAAGCTTTCTGGTTAAAACTAGGGTTTAGTATTAGTCTCATTAAGTCTGGCAGATTGATCACTATATCTTCCATCAACTCCCTCTAAAATGACTACTTTCTTGGTGTCTCCCACCCTCCCTTTCCTGTTGGGACTATTTATGTAAATCTTCAGTTACCAAGCTGGTGCTATTTATCTCTTGACTAAGTTTATCTTCAGAATTAATAACTATCTGCTTAAGCTAGTTTGTTAAGCTCATTGCCAACTCTTTTTAGCCACAATGGTTGAGGGAGAGTTCTATAATTATTTTTTTTTTACTTTCACTGAAAATATTTTATATTTTATTTAAGAAACATCTCATCCTAAGTAACTGCTAGGAATAGTTGACTGGGTGAAGGACAGCCAAATTCTTTTCTGGAAAAAAAAAGAAAGCTGGGAGACCATTGAACTATTTTTAAATCTATTGATTGAGCTGAGCAATCAGAAGGACCCTGCTTAATGACTTAATTATACTGTGTTTGTTTAACCAACTGTCTTTGTTTGTAAAGTTCATTTGTATCAGCAAGAAAAGTTGCTTAAAATGGAACACCCTGCTGAGTTCCACCAAGAAATTTTTAGTTGAAATGTAATTGCAAAGGATATAGTTTGAAAATCTAGCATGCTTAATGCACTGTGCACTGTTTAGTTACAGCTGTTTAAAGCTGTTTGCAATTCATTTCTGAGCAGGCTGACTCTTTTGTATTGTTGTTATACAACTTTACCTCAAGAATCCTGCTTGTGATCCAAAATCAAAAGCCAATCAAAGATGGCTGTCCCTCTGGGCTGTGAACAGATAGTGTTCATATATCTCGGGGGTACTTTGTGCAAATCTCGGGGGTAATGGAGAAGTTTATGATTGCTTGTTTGTCATCAAGGTTCTTATTTGGGACTATTGCTGCCAGAATGCCAAGATGCTACAGCATCTTCTTGGTGGGGAGAGGCACAGGGGTAATGACATTATTTGAGACTGGGGAAAAAGGATAATTGGATCAAATACCCCATGGATACACTGTATCTCTTTTACAGTTAAATTGGGGAATATGCAGCCTACCCTCTGCTTCTGTAAATCCTTCTGGATTATCTCCCTCCTGCTGGAACAGGAGATTTACAACAAAAATAACATAAGGTATCACCTTTTAGACTTCCTTAGTGGTTTGTGCACTTTGTATTTAGTGCAACAGATGATGTGTTCCATGTTGAGCTGCTGCCCTGCTTTCGCAGTTGATCATCCAAAGCTAGGACATTGCCACTTCTTATGAACCATCTGGCTGCAGGGAACTGGCAATTCATGTTGAAAAATTGATGCTTACGGGCCGTTCTTGCCAACACATTTCAAATGTCAAAGGAAAGTTGTCAGAATATCCAGTTGCCTTGCTAAAGAAGACTGGAGAGGTAGAAAAATAAAATATATTTTAAAAAATCCTGCAGTGTTCAAGAGAGTGCCATTTGTCCTGGCACCAATACAATTTGGAATGGCTTAGGATTTGAGGTTTTCTGTTGCATGAGCTAAAAAAGAAATGTTGATAGCAACGTAAAATGACACTAAAATCAAATATGAAAAGCAAGATGAATGATACTGAATATCTAGCTGCTACACGCTTGATTTTTATCCCCACTACAAAATAAACAAAGTGTATTTTGTTTATACTTTAAAAAATTTCCTTTTACAGGTAGGTCCAGTGTATTCAGAAGCTTGGTCTACTAAACTCTGCTTCTGACAAGTAGTTCTAATGCAAGAGATAGTTTAATACTGATGCCTGAAGATGGCAGCAAATTCCTGCCAACAGATATAGATGCTCCCATCGCTTCTTGTCTCTTCCCATATCTGCTCAACATCAGTTATTTAGCTTCTTGGTTTCAAAAGATGTGCAACTGAATTTAATCTTGTGGCATACTAATTAAGGGATATTCAGAAAACAGAATGTCCAGAGTTCTAAAGAAGGATGATTTCTTCGGCTGTCTGCTGAAAGGAAATCACCATGTTGAAGCATAAGAACTGAAAATGATTATGTTTATAGTTGCTATAGTTACAAGTATGTAATTAAAAAAGAAAAATACTGTAATGGCTACATTGATAATCTAAGAACAGAATAGATTTAGATTCTTGTACATTTATGATATAATTGATCAAATCCCAAAAGTGTCAGCTGTCAGCTACTACAGATTTTTTTTAAAATCAAGCAACACTTTAGACTGCTCCATGTTCTATTTTCCTTTTCTTTTTAAAATAAAAAAATAATAAAAAGAATTGGACTTCTTGGGATGGAGATATTCCAAAAATTGGAGTGAGGAAATACTGTAAATTACATAATGTCCCCAATAAAAATGTTCAGAAAGGCAATTTGTTTTGCCTTTTTTGCTAATACTCTAAAGAAATACCTTATTCATACTGTGACTGAAATTGGTGCTGCAGGTTTGTGTAAGTGGAATTTGAGTTAATTTTGATCATTATTAGATATTCTAAAAATAAGTTTCATTACCCTCTATATCTCATGTAGAATATCCCTGAGTCTTATATAAATATGCACATATTCAAACAGATCTTAATTACAATGAATCCAATTATGCATAGAAATGCCCCGTTCTTAGCAATACATTTCTTCCACTCAGCAAGGAGTCAATTCTGACTTATTACCCCATTTCTCTGAAAATAAGACCTCTCCGGATAATAAGCTTAATTGGGCTTTTGAGCACATGCACTAAAATAAGCCCTCCCCTGAAAATAAGCCCTCCCCAAAAATATTGCAACACAGCAGCAGCCATGAGGTGACCACACTCGCCGCCTCATGCACCTCAAAAATAATAAGACCTCCCTGAAAATAAGGCCAAGTGCTTATTCCGGGGGGTGTGTGTCAAAAGAAAATAAGNTGATCAGATTACCACCGCTTTCTTCAAAGGTTGCGGGAAAGATCCCTCCTGTAAAGACGCGTTCATAATCATCTGGAGCCAGTCTCGTGTTACCTCTCTGCTGGTTGAGACCAGCCAGGAGGGGCACGGGTCCAGTAAACAGGTGGAGGCACTCATCGCTCCCATGGTCTTGTCCACTTCCTCAGGAGTGATAGGCTAGAACTCATTCCAGGTAATCTGATCAAGACTCTCCCTCTGCATCTCCGCTGGTACTGCCCAAATGGAGTCCAGGTCTGCCCGAATCTGAGTGATTTTATCCGACAGAAACTGAACAAACTCCTCAGCCCTTCCCTGTAAGGGTTCCCCCGCATCCTCACCCTTCATGAGGGAGCGGGTTACCCTAAACAGGGCGGCTGGGCGAGATTCTTCGGATGCAATAAGAGCCGAAAAATGTACACATTTTGCCCACCGTATCACCGCTAAATAAGTCCTAATGAAGGCTCTTAATAGTGTTTGGTCAGATTCGGAGTTACTAGCCCTCCAGCGTCACTCTAGGCATCTCTTTTGGCGCTTCATCTCCCAGAGTTCCTCGGTGAACCAAGGTGCCCTCCTGGATCCACTGCTGCGGAGAGGCCGCAAAGGCGCAATCCGATCCAGTGCCTCAGCCGCCGCAGCATTCCAGGCAGCGACCCACATTTCTATTTTAAGGCTATGAGTAAGACACAGTGGATATTGTTCAGCTTTCCTCAACCTTTTGCTTCCTTTATTGTCCAGCCTGATTAGGAGTTCTGGAGAAGGTCTATAGAGATTCTCAAGTCATCCAGGTCATGGTTGCCCAAAGGTGCTTTTTTAGGAGGCAACTGGACTTTCTTGTTTTTTTTCTTCAAATGTCTTCAAAAGAAAAAAAAAACAAAGTCCATTTGCCTCGTGAAAAAGCACCTGGGGGACAGTTCTGGACAACTTAACACTTCAAAGAATATTTTGGGCCATTTTCTTTTGCTTAATATAGAGCTTGAAACTATATATTTGTATATGGATGGCTAGTTTGTAGCTCAGGTGTACCATTGAAATTTAGTCAATATCTTAGAAGGAAACCTACAATCCTTTGGTACTAAATT